AAGTGAGAAATGAGGTTGACAATATCACAATAAGGAGTCTGAAAAGTAATCTGGAGTCATTTAAGGTTTTTGAGAGAGGTGGTGACATACTGTAATCAGTAATAACTGACAGGAGAGAAAGATGTGGATGTCATGGAGAAGACAGATTAACCAGGCAGGGCAATAATCTAGGCCAGGGAAGAAAAGCACCTGAACCAGGAGCTAGCCAGAGAGTCTGAGACTCCATTTGCAGATGCAGTTTTCAGGAGTGAACCACAAGATGATGGCTGAAGCCTGGGATAGGTTAGAACGTATGAAGATAAGAACAAAATATGTAGGAGAAGCCTGGGGAGATGACTTTCTTTAAAAGTTTGGTAGAGGGAGGAAAGCCTTCTTTATCAAGGAGACTGAGGGGAACCAATCAGAGGTGGTAGAATCAGAGTACTGGAGTATGAAGGAAACCAAAAGAAGAGTAAAATGCAAGGATACGGTGCTCCAGAGGGTGGGAGGGAAGGATGTATAGTAGAGAGTGACTGAAGAGAATGGGACTGGAAATTGGATTTGGCAAGGTCACTGTTCAAGAGAGCAGTTTTAATAGAGTGGTAGGAATTTAAAATTAGGACAGATTTTGATGGATTGAGGGACAAATGGAAAGTGAAAAAGTAAATTCTACGATTAAAGGTAGGTGAGGAGATGAGGGAAATCAGGCATGAATGTTTCGAGTTGGCTGACTCACAGTCTCAGCCTGAACTCTAGTTATGTATTTACTCTAGATCCTAAGGAAAGCTTTGTCTGGCCTAGAGAATGGTAGAATTGTAGAATTTCTCTTGCTGTACAGCTCAAATTTAATCCTCAAATAGGAAAGCCATGAATATGGTTGAAATTTCTCATGATTCACAATTTGACTCAGGCAGTTTACATTAGGATGCATCATAGCTTGAGGAAAGGTACAGCACAGGTGCAGAGAGCATGGTAGCACAGGTTATTAAGGAACAGACTTCAGTGACTGTCTTCAAATTATCCAAGAAAGTTTTATCTTCACTATTGTAATATGTAATAAATGGGGAGAAAAGTCATAGAACTCAATTTCTATAAATATGACTGCTGTAGCCTTTGTACATAGAATGCAGGAAAGTAAGATCCACATCTTATTTACCTTAATATTCCCTACCCTAATGCAATATAGGTACAGTTTATGGCTGCAGTCCCTAACCCCCGGGCTGCAGACTGGTACTGGTCTGTGGTCTGATAGGAACCAGGCCACACAGCAGGAGGTGAGTGGCAGGCAAGCCAGCAAGAGTTTCGCTTGTATTCATAGCCACTCCCCATCCATTACATGACTGCCTGAGGTTCACCTCCTGTCAGATCAGCGGTGGGATTAGATTCTCATAGGAGCACGAACCCTATATAAACTGCACACATGAGGGAGCTAGGTTGCACTCTCCTTATGAGAATCTAATGCTTGAGGATCTGAGGTGGAGCTGAGGCTGTGATGCTAGTGCTGGGGAGCAGCTGCAAATACAGATTATCAGTAGAGAGATTTGACTGCACAATAAATGTAATGCGTTTGAATCATCCCCAAACCATCCCCTGCCTGCCCGGTCCGTGGAAAAATTGTCTTCCGTGAAACCAGTTCCTGGTGCCAAAAAGGCTGGGGAATGCTGGTGTATGGCACACAGCAACAAATATTTCTTAAGGGATGAATAAGGATTTTGACATCATCATAAATACATTGGTCTTTGGTCATGAACATTTCCAAGAAGTCCTGACACTTGTAATTTTTATGTTTTCAACTCTCCCAATCCTGAAACCACTGGTTCAACAACGTAGAAAGAAAGGAACGAAGCTTGCTTTTAGTGGTGTCTTGAGTCCTTTCAGTACAGAAAACCCCCGAATAAAATTAGAGTAGAAAGAGAGGATAGAAAGAGAGCCTAATGAGTTATCAGTGGGGAAAAAAATGCTAATAACTGAAATGTAAAGGAACTTGATAGAGTTTTCTTGTCAAATTTCATTATCTTGGACTAACTTTCTATGCACTGCTAGTGTCATTGGTATATGCATTACATTACTCATTTTCCAATTTAGAGAGAAAAGAGGAGCACAAATAAAACTGGAGAAGTTCTTGTTTTCTTAGCCGAGATTTAATACAATTTAATGCCTTTTCATTGCTGCCCTATTTTGCATTAATTTTCATATCACATTTAATCTTAACAGTGATCACTGGAATTTGATAAAACGAAAAGAAAAGTTAGGCTTGATTTCTAACACAATTTTTAAACCTCCTTCAAACAAAATTTTAACATTTGTGCATCCCATTCTATTTTAAAGTCAAAGTTTTACAGTTGCAACACCAGGCACATTCCAGCAAGCTGAAATTAGTATACAAATATTATTTATGGGTTTTAATGGCCATATGACATCTAATGCTATTTTTAATAATCAGTTTTGTGCATTTTGGATATTATAATGACTGTGAAAATTAAAAACAATTAAAAATGTATTAGAGCTGCACATATTTAGACCTAAAGTTAAAATCTGAACAAAAAAAACAGATATTACATTTGGAAACACAGGACGAGTATGTTTGTTTTTCTAATTTAACTGATAAATTATGATTTTTAATAAGACTGCTTTTTTGTTAGGATTACTAGGTGGTTTATCTAAGATATATTTCAAGAAATAAAGCAACTAAACCAGACTGTATCCAGATATGGAAATGCAAACTAAAATATATTCTTATGAACTCTCAAATACAAATATTCAAATGAGGCAAACTGGAATATGGAAGCCCAGGTCCATTAGCCATCATAACCACCCAGACAAAGAAAGTATAAGAGCTTGGTCTGTGGGGCAGAACTTCCCTTGGCATAAGAGAAAGCCTA